TTTAGAATGTCTTGATAAAATGTTCTGTAAATGTATTGAGGCCTGTTTGTTTATGATATCATTTAACTTCAATGTTTTTCTGTTGAACTTTTTCCCAAATTACTTGCCTACTGGTGAAAATGAAGAATCCTATAATACATATATTATCAAGTTCATACTACAATTATTTGTAGTAAACAAATGTGTAGAAAACTCTTAAACTACTTATTTATCCATTAGTGTAAAAGTGAAATAACTTGTTTTTGGAAACTATTTCACACAAAGAAATTTCTAAATCATCTCACATAATCATAAATATGCATCAGGAAAAAATTGAAAAGTGTAAAGTTAAAACAAAATCAAACATTGAAGAAATATGTATCATATTGCATATTGTTGTAAATACCATAAATAATCATGATCCTAGACTGACAGGGATCAATTTGCATTTGAAAATCAAGGACACCATCAGGGCTATAATAGAATCATTCTCTTTGAAGATGAAACAGAAAAATACATATTCTCGTGTTGGCATGGCTGAACAATATGTTCCAGTGAATGAACTTCATGAATGGGTATTTCCCCTCATGATATGATTGAGTCTTTTTAAAATTTAACTCTATTTTTATTGTCTCATTTTTATATACATGCATATTTATAAATGCATATATGTATAAGTCACAAAAATAATAAAAGATGAATTTATAAGGAGTTTGGGGTCCATTGGAGGCATTGGAGCAGGAACCAATATGGGTGAAAATGAAGTAAATACAATAATCATGCATAAAATTCTCAAAAATAGAGGAATATATTAAAATATACTCATGAGAGGAGGTACCTTGATTTTTTTGCCTACCCTGGAAAATACATCAGCAATTAAAAATACTTGGTAACTCATTTTCTAGAAGAAAATGAAGTGCAATGCCATTTCTACTGCTTTAACAAGCACAGGGAAAGATAGTAAGTTGCACTGTTGAGATTATGTTTTGTCTGATTCAGTTCTGAATATACTTGGAAAAAAATCCTGAGAAAAAGTTAAGAAATAAATGGGCCATATACAGCAGTGGACCCAAATATCTTCACAATGTAATGAGGTTTGGTTTTTTATTTCTTTGGAATTCTTGTGGTTTTCATGCAATACTTTGATGGTATTAGATTCCCTCCCCTATCTGTACCTACTCTACTTCCCCCTGCCAAGCTTAAAATATATATA